GCTCCCCATTCGCCCTGCAGCCCCTGCACCCCCCCGACCCTTGCAGCCTCTGTGCCCCCCCGCCCCTGCACCCCCCTGCCCCTGCTTGCCCTGCTCCTCCTCGCCCTGCAGCCTCTGCACCACCCCACCGGCCCTGCTCCCCCGCTCACCCGGCAGCCTCTGCCTGGCGGGGGCTTCAGATGCTCAGTGGCGACCAGGGCGGCGCGGGTCCCTGCAGCCCCGGGACACGCCGCCTCCGAGCACATTCCCCAGCCTGTTGTCCCCGGAAATAGCTCCCACGGTGCCGGGTTCCAAGCCGCGCAGGGCAACGGGGACACAGGAAAGGTCTGCCAGTGGCCGGGGGGTCCCCGCCCGCGAGGGAAGCCTGAGCCCTCCCCCCCCCCGCCCAAGCTCGCTACAATGTAGCTGGGGCGGCTGGGCTGCGCTGCGGACCCGGCGGATCGTGCTGGGGCCAGTGGACCCAGGCTTATGCCTCCCTATTTCCCTGGACATGTCCGGCTTTTTGGAAATTCCCCCCGGACAGGGATTTGAGCACCAAAAAGCCGGACATGTCCGGGGAAATCTGGACGTATGGTAACTCTAGTTTAAATCTCCATTATCCCTACACAGGGCCCCGCAGCAAATGGGGAGCAGGGGGCAATGACTAGCTCGCCTGCCAGGTTTTTTTGTCTCCCTCGGTGACTGGGGGCGGGCCAGGCCAGTTGACACACTCTGAGACATCTGGAAATGCCTTTCGAGGGACTAGGTTTGTCACCCCTCCAGAATTGTCCTGGAATCCCAGGAATTAAAGATTAATCTTTAATTAAAGATTACGTCATGCAATGAAACCTCCAGGAATACATCCCACCAAAACTGGCAACCCTACTGTGAGAACAAGGAATCCCAGGGCAGCTGCGCCAACGGTCATTTATACTGCATCTGAGTGTCACGTTTATATTGTTCCCCCACTGTTAGCCTCCATGTGTCACTTTTATACTGTTCCCCCACCCCATTAGCCACTAAGTAACACATCTATACCGTCCCTCTATCCGGTTAGCCTCTGAGCCTCACATTTATACCATTCCCCGCCACACACCCTCTTGTTAGCCTCCAACTGTCATGTTTATCCTATCCCCCTTTGGCACCCTCCACCCTGCAGCCCAGTCCGTGCATCCCCTCAGGGCTCCTCCTCCCCATGGCTCCGCTGGTGTTTGATAAGGTTGGCCCGGCGGGTGAATCCTTTCCTGCACCGGGAACACTTATAGGGTTTGCCACCCATGTGGGTCCGCTGGTGGATGATGAGGTCGAGAGTGAGGCCGAAGGCCTTCCCGCACTCGCTACACTTGTAGGGCCGCTTGCCCAGGTGGCTGCGCTGGTGCTTGGTGAGATGCGAGCTCTGGCTGAAGGATTCCCCGCACTCGGGGCATTTGAAAGGCTTTTCTCCGGTGTGGATGCGCCGGTGCCGCTCCAGGTGGGAGACCCAGGCGAAGCCTTTCCCGCAGTCGCCGCACTTGTAGCTCTTCTCCGCCGTGTGGCCCTGCTGGTGGGCCAGGAAGGCGGCGTTGTCCCCGAAGCGCTTGCCGCAGTCCCCACACTTGTAAGGCCGGTCGGGGGAGTGGGTCTTGCGGTGCTGGAGCAGGTGGGCCTTCTGGGCGAAGCGCTCCCCGCAGCTGGTGCAGGGGAAGGGGCGCTCGCCCGTGTGGACCCGCCGGTGCCGCTCCAGGTGAGAGGCCCAGACGAAGCCTTTGCCACAGTCACCGCAGCGGTGGGCCCTCTCCCGCCGGTGGGAGCGCTGGTGCCGGGCCAGGGCCGGGCCAGCTCGGAAGCACTTCCCGCAGTCGCCGCAGCGCAGGGGTTTCTTTCCCAGGTGGGTCCGCTTGTGGCGGGCTAGGTCCGAGCTCTGACAGAAACTTTTCCCACAGTGCGGGCAGCGGTAAGGGCGCTCCCCCGTGTGGCTGCGCCGGTGCTTTGCCAGATGGGAGCTCTGGCTGAAGGATTCCCCGCACTCGGGGCATTTGAAGGGCTTTTCACCGGTGTGGATGCGCCGGTGCCGCTCTAGGTGGGAGGCCCAGATGAAGCCCTTGCCGCAGTGGCTACATTTGTGGGGTTTGTCCGCCGCGTGGCCCTGCTGGTGGGCGGCCAGCTCGTCAGGCCGGGCGAAGCGCTTCCCACAGTCACCGCACTTGTGGGGCCGGTCGCTGGTGTGGGTGCGGCGGTGCTGCAGCAGGTGGGAGCTCTGGCTGTAGCTTTCCCCACACTCGGGGCAGCGGAAGGGGCGCTCGCCAGTGTGGATGCGCCGGTGCCGCTCCAGGTGCGAGGCCCAGATGAAGCTCTTGCCGCAGTCCTGGCAGCGGAAGGGTTTGGCGCGCTCCTCGGCCGGCTTGCCCTTCCGCTGCCGGCCCCCAGCCGTCCCACACTCTAAACTCTTCCTGCAGTCGCCACAGCGAGTCTGGGCCACCGTGCCCTTCGGCTTCCTCAGGCCTGGGCCGCGCTGCGTGGCTTTGTCATGCTTCTTCCCTGGCTGGGCTTTCTTTTGTTCATCGGAGTCGGCAGGGCTCTTTTCCCACTCAGGGTTCTGAGAAGTGCGTGGTTCCAGCTCCTCTGAGCCTTCCTCCTCCTCCTCCTCCTCAGCATCTTCCTCCTCGTTGTCGCTCACCAAACCATCAGCTGCTGGGATAAAGGGAGAGAGAGTCCAGGCATGAGTCACTCCCTGCACAGGGGTGTGGGGGGGAGGGGAAAGGAACCCGGATTTCCCCAAAGAAGAGAGAGGAAGGGGTTTATTCTGCCTTCACATCCCATCTGAAGACTCCGGGGAAGGGAGCTGCTGCCAGGTACAAGCCAGGACGGTTGGGGAACCACGACTGACGTCTGCCACAAATACACATCTGGAGTTAGTTGAAAAGCGACAATTATGATTCGTGGGAATTTTTTTAGGTGGTTTTTAATTTTATTTAATTTCCTACACCAAAAATGTCACTGTAAGAACCTGAAGTCAGAAAAGTCACAGAATTTAAGGCTAAAAAGGGACATCTAGTCTGAAATCCCTTTCTCTCAATTTTCAGTTTTCGAAAAACCATCTGCAGTTTAAAACTTTGAGCTGTCTCTAAAAATGTTCAGTTTTCATAAATCAACCAACCAACCAATAATTTTATTGCAAAACCTTTTATTTTATTTTATTTTATTTTATTTTTTAAGAAAAGCAGATTATTTTGATTTTCTAGTTTTGGGTTGAAAAAGTGGAAATTCTGACCAAAATGAAGATTTCCTGCAAAAATGTTTGTTTTGGTGAAAACACTCCTTTTTTCGGTCCTCCCTCTTTAAAAAAAAGAAAAAGTTTTAATTAGCAAATTCCAACCAGCTATAGCCACAACGCCTGCTGCGGGCTACAAACCTGACCCGGGTGGGAGGAGGCAGAAGCCGGGAGCTCACGGGAATTCCAGCGGCTGTGTCATTTGTGCCCCATTCACCGAGGTGGATGGGCCGGGGGAGTCTGATTCACCCGGTTGCTCACCTGTGTGGGCTCCTCGGGGGCTCTCCCGTCCCTGGAAATCCCGGGCGGACGGCTCCTCCCCTCGTTCCATCCAGGAGATCAGGTCGGGTTTAGAAATCGGAAATAGTGCTCGTGGGGGAAAAACAGGTGATATCAGGGTTCATTAGGTGTCTCTACTCCAGCTCCTTGCTCTCTGATTCTGCCTCTCTGGCTGCCCCCTTGTCCTGGGGGTCTCTTTTCTTCCTCAGCTCTTTGCTGGCTCAGCTGTTCAACAGCTGAATCCCTCTCTCCTGGCCTGGTCTCTGTGATGTGTTCTCCTTGCTCTTTCTGATCCAGGCCTCATCTCATTTCCCTGTCCCCCAGTTCATCCTCCTGCCCCTGCCGCTCACAACTTCCCTAACTCCTCTGGTCTCTTTCTCCCCTTATCTCTACTGACTCCAAGCTCACAGCCTTCAAGTCTGTGCCTTCTTCTTTTACACTCGCTTACTGTCGTTCCTCTCTGTCCATCTCCTCCAAACCTCCTGTCCTCTGGCCCATCCTCTGGGCTTTATAGCCTGCCCAGCCCTAGAAGATGACCATAGATGTTGCTGTTCTGTCCACTCTGCGGCCTTGACTGCACCAGAGAAATTAACCGTGCTAAGAGCTGTTTCAATCTCCCCGCACGCTTGTAGCACGCCCTGGGTCCGCTTGCAAATGTGCTGCACGCAGTTATGACCCGGGCTATGCGAGTAAGGACTTTCCAGGGCTGAAGTCTGACCTGCATTAGTCTTCTTAGAGTATGTGCGACATGCCTCAAGGGGCATGTGACCAGAGTTCATCACTGAATTGGGCCCGTTGGTTGGATCATTAGCTTCCCCGGGCCGAGTACTGACGGGGAGGGCGACGTGAACGCTGATCCACACCCCGCCACGGTGTTAGTCCGCGGTGAAGGTAAGCTAGCCAGAACTGCCCGACAAGTCCTGCGGCTGAACCACAGCCAGTCCTGTGGACACTGCGCTGGGCTGGCAGTCGGGATGCCCAGATTCTATTCCTGGGTGACTTTGGGCGAGTCACTGCCTCTGTTTTCCCTCCCTCCCTTTATCTGTTTGAAGTACAAGCTCTTCAGAGCCGGCATCCCCACCGGCTAGGTTTGAGGGTGGGGCGAAGTACAACAGAACCCCAGTCTTGGTTGGGGTCACTCGTAGCTGCCGTAACAAAACTCACAGCAGCGTCAGTGGACTCTCCAGCTGTCGGAGAGGCTACCCAGAGGGCACTGCCGTTTGGGAGGTGAATGCAGGACAAACCTGCAGTGGTTCAGTAAGCCGGGCCAGCGCTGAGCCCCTTGGGATTACAGCTATTCAGCTCGAATGGCTTCATTCTCTGGTGTAGACCAAAGGCCTTGACTGTGTCATCCCGCTCTGCGCTAGGCCGGGCCATCCTCCCCTTTTATCCTCTGACTCTGCGGACACCTTCCTTCCCCCGGCCTAGAGCGTGTAGACTATCAATAAAAAAAGCAGATTTTGCAGTAAATCTATAAATGACACAGATTTCAGTTTACTGTTGTTCGCAAGGCTGTATTATGGACCGTTCACAGCAGCCGAGGAGCGGCAATGTGGTCAGTAAGGAGACCCAGGTTTAATTCCTGGTTCTTCCATTCATTTTACCCCAGGCCGCCTCTGTAAAAAAAAAAAGAGCTAATGATGCTCTCCTGTAAACGCTGGGAGAGCCAACCCAGAGCTGTCTGTGCTGGGAAGGGGGGGGTCCAAGCACCTACAATCAAGGTTAGTATGTCTGGGACCGTCCAAGGTGCCTGAATTCTCATGCATTAGCCTGGGCAGTTTGGGGCCCTGACAGATGCCATCCAGCCAGTTCCTCCTGGTTAGGCTGAACTGGGAAACTGACAGTATCCCTACTTCACCTCAGATCTTCAGTTTGCCTCCTCAGTTTCTTCGGTTTCCTCCTTTCAAACCCCATCGCCTCCTGCCTGCCAGCCCTTCTTACCCCCCGCCACAATCTCTTTCCTCTGGCGCCTCCCCTTTCAGGCAGGCCTCTGTTCTCCTCCACTCTAGATGATTTCTCCATCTCTCCTCTCCCTCCATCCCTCTCCGGCCCAGCTCCTAAATACCTTTGAGGTTCTGGGCTTTTGTGCTCTGCTTCCATCCAGCCCAACTTCCCCCTCTCCACTAGCCGAGCTGGCAACTAGCTCCTGGCCTGACCTATCCCCCCAAACACATCCTCATTGTACTCTCCACTGCCACAGCCCTGACCCCATTTCCCCCAGGCCTTCCCTCCGCGTCCTCCTCCCACCGCACTCGCGGCTCTGCCAGCTCCGCCTCTGGACTTGTGGCCTCTGTCCTCAGCCCCCTCCTCGCTCCATGGTTTCGGTCGTCTTACGGTCCCCTCTGCCTCTCCCCGGTATCCCCTTGCCCTGGCATCAGACCCTTCCTGCCACAGTCTCCAGCTCCCACGGAGAGAGCAGGTTGAAAAATGAACAAATAAATCAATATTCAGGCAAAAAATTGCGAAGTTGTTTTCATCTCAGTGTCCCACATTTTTTTTTAATTCAATTTCCCCCCGAAATTCCATTTCTTGGGAAACAAAAAAACACTGTTGATAATGACTTTGATACAAATTTTGGGAAAACAAGTATCCAAAAAAAGTGGCTTCTCTCCCCCCCCTCAAAACTTTGACAATTCTTTGGGGGGGAAATCTTTTTTTGGGGTGGGGGGGAGGTGGAAGCTGACTCTTCCTAAGAAAAACCATCTGGTTTGAGAACTGTGGACCACCTCGAGCCCTGCGTCCTTTCCACTTATCCAGCCCCTGGCTACTTCCTGCCACTCCTTAATCCTACGACAGCTCCTCAGTCTGCCCTTTGCTATCAGCAAAGCACGGTGCTCTGTGGCAACTTGCTTAGGATTCATGAAACATTTAATACTCAATCAGTGTCAAGGATTCCTGCAGGGCTTTCTAGCCACACCGGCATGATACCTGCTTCCTCACATCTGGCTTTCCTAGGCTGCAGCTCCCTGCCTTTCTTCTCCTCCCGGTCCCGTCTTCATGGAGTGGGGAAAGGGGGGGGGGGGCAGGAAGGAGTGGATTTAAGTTGGAGAGAAGAGAAGGGAGAGATGAAAAGAGTTCCTCACCCAGGGACATCAGGGTCTCATAGCTTTCCTGCATGACGTCCCGGTACAGGGCTCTCTGCCGCGGATCCAGCATCACCCAGGGCTCCATGGTGAAACAGTCGCCTCCTCTAACGTCACCAGCGGCTGTAACGACAAACGCCCCCTGCTCAGTACCTGCTGCCCATCTCCCATACGTTGCATCTGTCACTGAGTAGCTGGCTCCTTGGAAAAGAAGTGGGTCCAGCACCCCTATACCTCGGGTGGCCAGACCTCCTGATAGCAGGGGCTTTGTCTTATATACACCCCACTCCCTGAAAAAACGGGTCCCAATTTTTCATTCTTGCTACCTGGTCACCCTAGCAGCACAGGTGTGTCCCACTGGGGCTAATCCATGGAGATCTGGGAGCAGAAGGTCGGCTCCCAGTGAAGGGCTCCCAAGGAAGATCCTTGCTGAGGTGCAGGGGGGGAACAGCAGAGAATTAGAAAGGTTTGCTGGGGAAAAAGACTCAGGAAATGGGCAGGCAAGAGACAGCTGAGAAGAGACTGAAAGAGGCAGGAGGGGGAGGTGAGAGATGCCTGAGCAGGGTATGAGGTGTGTCGTTCAACTGTGTCGAAGGAGCAGTGTGTACCAGGGGGCAGGGGGAATGGACTGTGTTAGGGGCAATTTTGTACCGTGTGGGATAATAAAGGGTAAGGGTAATATTGGACACAGAAGAACATGCGATGGAGCCTGAGAAGGGGAACCAGAAGGTGGGGTGCCTGCAGGGCCGTGCCATGAGGGGGTCTTTGGAGACAGTAACACAACCCCTCAGAGAACAGGCCTGGCTTCATGCAGGTATACCAGGGGATGAGTCTGCCACTCGGGCCTAGACGGTGGCTCTTTGTCCCTGCTCATTGCAGACCCACCTCCCACACAAATCAGCCAACAACACGCCGCCTCACCCTGCCCTTTCCTCTCTTTGGCCACCCCAGCTCTGTAGCAGCTGATCAGTCCCGTGTTTGGGACCCACAGGGCTGGTCTACACTGAAAACTTACATCGGTCTAACTATGTTGGTCAGGGGTGTGAAAAATCCACACCCTTGAGAGATGTAGTGAAGCCAAGCTAAGCTAACCTAGACAGCGCTCAGTCGATGGATGTGGATTAGCTACAGTGACAGGAGAACTCCTCCCATCATGTAGTGAGCGTCTACATGGAAGCCCTACAGCAGTGGAGCTGCAGCGGTGTCACTGTAGTGTTAAGTGTGGACGGACCCTGAGAGCTCCCTGCCATACAGAGGAAAGGGCTGAGTTTCAGGTATTCCAGGGTTTGTTCCATTGACAGGTGAATTCTACACCCTCCCCAACAGGCCTGTTCCCAAAACTCAGACCCGGAGTCACACAAGTCACAGCAGACTTGTCATGTCCCTCCCTTCCTTCCCCTGCTGCATTTAGTGTCCCTTTCCTCCTCCAGCAGCTCACTAAAAATACCCTCACTGAGCTGAACAGAACTTGCTCCATGCCCCAGGCGGGTTGGGACGATCTGGAGAGAAAAGGGCTTGTTATGCTGCAGCTGGTGACTGGGGAAATTCTAGAAGGTGCTTTAGTCCACTTCACCCCCTAGGCTTTTTCCTTGCAGACAGACACTAGGCTCTGCCATGGGTGCTGGGGGTGCTTGGTTTGAAGTCGTTTGAAGTCATTTCCACCATTTACAGGGTTTACAGTTTTGTTTACTGGCTTTCAGCACCCCCACTATAAAAATTGTTCCAGCACCTATGGCTCTGCCTTGCTGGGAAACCGCTGAGGGCTTGTCTACAATGACAGGTTAGGTCGGTGTAATTATGTCGCTCGGGGGGTGAATAAGCCACGCCCCTTGAACGATGTAAATTACACAGACCTACGTGCCAGTGTGGACAGCGCTATGTGGGTGGCCGAGCTTTGCCCGCCGGCTTAGCTACCGCCTCTTGCAGAGATGGTTTTATTATGCTGACGGGACAGCTCGCTCCCATCAGCATAGAGCATCTTCACCAGATGCCCTATGCAGCTGCGCCGCTGCAGCGCTTCTAGTGTAGACAAGCCCCGTGTCACGTTAGCAGACCCGGCCCCTCCCACCAGGACTAAAGCCATCCAAACATTTTTAAACCCTGCCAGGAACAGAGTCTCGGACTCACGTGCGGAACCCAAGAAGCCGCCTGTTTTGGGGGATTCCCCTTGGGCACAGGCAGAACAGCGCGGGGACCAGGCAGAACTGACTTTTCCTCTCTCTCTGCTTCTCACCTTGTTCATGGGAAAGGGAATCTGCCCAGGGACGCTGCAGTAAATGGGTCTGGGCAGGTTTGGCTCCCGGGGCTTCCCAATGTGACACTTTCATGACTGGCAGTTTGGTCCTGCCCTGCTCCCAGCAAGGATACCTGCTCCCTGGCAGAAACGGGGAGTGTATGGTGCTGGCTTAGGCAGCCGGGAGGGCTCTCTGCTCCCTCTGAACCCCAGCAGCAGCCTGCGGGCGGGTGATAACAAGCAGGGGGCTGAATAGAAGGGTCTATAGCCTGCCCATGGGGACAGAAGGAGGGGTAGGGACTGAAATGGGACAGAACAGAATTGGGGAGGCTGGTGGGAAGAGGGGTAAAATGAGGGGGGCTACCCCAGCTTCCCTACAACCCTCACCCCAGTCTGCCTCAGGATCCCCCTACACCCACAACAACCTGCTGCCCGTTACCAAGGGCTCACCCCATGTTACCTGCAGTGCTACGGGCTGTCCCCACCAACTCTCCTCCCAGACACGGTCCTCCAGAATCCCCCTCCCCGGTGGCCTCTGACTCCCTGCAATACCCTGGTCCCCAGAGGTGCTCTGGGTTCATCCCCACGCCCTTTGGGGAGCTGTGGGGAACCCCCATCACGCCCTGTTTCCAGGCCTGGGGGAACCCCCCAAAGGGGAATCCTCTAGCCATGCGTCACTGGCAAGACTCGTCACTCAGAGAGTGGACACAAAACTGGGCCCCTTGGGAGCCCATAATAACCTCCCACCCCACTGATTGCTCCTGCCAGTCTCTCCCCTGCCGCCCCCTCCCCTCGGGCTCGGAGACTCGGTCCCTGGCCCGGCCCGGGGCGTTCGCTCTCCCGGAGCTGGCTCGGCTCCTGCAGGCGCTCAGGGGGGCAGAGCCTGGGGGGGTCAGGGAGGGGAGCAGCTCTGGGACTCGCAGACCCCCGCCCCGGGAGCAGAGCTGGGGCGTTGGTGCAGAGTCACTTTCCTGCCCGGCCCCAGCCCTTTCCCCCGGGTCTCTCCCCTCACCTGCAGGCTCCGGCTCAGGGGCTGGTGTCGGCAGAGCCCGGGGCTGCCCCAGGGGCTGGTTCCAGCACCCGGAGAAAGTCCCCCCGGCTGGGCACAGAGCGGGGTTAACGCAGGTTTCCGACCCACCGCAGCAGCGGCTCAGTCTGCGATCTCGGGTCACAATAGACCTGGCGCCCGCCGCCACTACCAGTCACCCCGTCTCGCTCCGGAAACCAAACCCCGGTATCCGGGCCGGAGGAAACACAGCGCAGCCAGAGCCCTCTAGAGGCAGCCGAGACAGACTCCGCTTTCCCCGGCCCCTCCGCTCCCTGGCAGAACTTTGTGCTCGTTCCAGATGTGTCTCTAGCTGCAGCCCACAGCACCATGGTATCCCAGTGTCACACAAGCTTTCATCTAGCCTCGGCATCCTCCTCCCA